TAGAAAACAAAGTTAAACTCCCCATAGACAACAAAATTAAACTCCCCATAAACAATAAATTAAACTCCCCATAGACAACAAAATTAAACTCCCCATAGACAACAAAATTAAACTCCCCATAAACAATAAATTAAACTCCCCATAGATAACAAAATTAAACTCCCCATAAACAATAAATTAAACTCCCCATAGACAACAAAATTAAACTCCCCATAAACAATAAATTAAACTCCCCATAGACAACAAAATTAAACTCCCCATAAACAATAAATTAAACTCCCCATAGACAACAAAATTAAACTCCCCATAGATAACAAAATTAAACTCCCCATAAACAATAAATTAAACTCCCCATAGACAACAATGTAAAAACTAGAAATGCATATTTTACACATAGAGCCAATGTGTTAAGCACCCAAAATTTTAAATCCAATGGAAACACTGTCATCACAAATGTTGAAAGTCCTGAAAGTTAAGCCAATTGAACTATACACTGGTGATGGCAATATTAATCCAATTGATGACTCTAAATGTATCAGGTGTGTGAAAATGAAGGAGTCACATGGAAGCTTGGAACATTGTAAATGTTTATGGGGGTGATAGGGTATGTCTAAACTATTGTTACCATACTCTAAGGCACAGATTTGCTGAGATGTGACATCATTCATAAATTTTATAATCAAATTAAATGTTAATACAAAGCCAATCAGGGGTCACATAAGAATTTTATATTTTTTTGAAGACCAACGTAAATGAGGTTACTGAATTTGATTTTGGGGGATTAATATAAAATACTTTATTTTAGCTGGAATTAATTTTCGCTGGAAAAACTTTTCAGGTGTTTTGTATGCAATTTATTTTCACGGATTTCTGCTGAGTTGAATGTAAAATATAGGGAAAAAGGTATATTCAATGGATTTTATTTTCACTGAAACATTCCTTCAGCAAAAATTAATTCCAAGCGAAAATAAAGTATTTTACAGTAATTTGCATTTACCTTGGTATAATACATATGCAATACATATACTTAAGGTGTAATTCTCAAAACATGCCAAAGCTCAGAAAACTGAAACAGAGGTGATCAACTTCCAGCATTAGAGTGTACGTACTTAATTGAGTTGATAACATTGGACGGTAATGATACTCTCTTAGCTTCCACTGCAAAGATCCAGTAGGTTTGACTTCTCAATGTAGATGGGCAATATAGGGAGTTTTATCAAAATGAGACCCGGCATTGATTCCAAAGAGAGGCTCACTTCATTCATTAGTGAAATTAAAGGACGAGCCTTGTTTCATTTCCAATCCTGGCACAAGTTTGAGGAATAACAACCTAATAGCAATTTTAACCAGCACATACACAGGGTATGGCTTTGGTGTGTAAATCTGAATGGCTCAAGCACAACACAGGAATAATGTATTTGGTGAAACTACACATACCTGTATGCAATAATAACAGAACACATGTTGACATCCAATATGATGCGGCAAGGTCGGCCATTCACCACAGACCACACATTCTTCATAATTGGCAGCTGATCTCATTGTATCATCACCACCAGAGGAAGATGATTTTGCGAAACGACGAGAGATAAAATTCTTGATTTTTTGAAAGTTGATGAGTGGCAATATAAAGAAGAGAAATTCTGCAAAACCATGCCATAGAAGTTCACGTGTCATGTACTCAAAACTAACCTGAATAGCAGAAGTGAAATCTTTTAATAATGACAAGTGACCTCATTGGTCAAAACATGACATGTGACAAATACAAGTGATCTTATTGGTCATAACATGACATGTGACAAATACAAGTGACCTCATTGGTCAAAACATGACATGTGACAAATACAAGTGATCTTATTGGTCATAACATGACATGTGACAAATATGATGGTTAATCACAAAAATGCAAGACTTGTATCATCATTGTGTTCTAAACACTGTATTAGCCTGTGATGCCACGTTCACTGAAATAGAGCCATCGATATACATGTATAATTACAATGATGCTACAAAGAATGCTCAAACACATGGAGGCAATATGGCCATTCATGCCTGAAATTTGGGACCATTTCTAAGAATATGAACTCAAGAAATTCATCATGTGTTATCACTGTTGCAACTTCAGTGTGTTTTCCCTTAGAATTCGACTTCTACTTTGCAACAGAGTTGAGTGTGTACAACCACCGACCCTCAACAGGGACAGTGTTGAGGGACGGTAGCACAACTCCCTTAACTGTGGTATAAATGGCCAGATTTGGATTACGGCAGGTAAACTTCAACGTTACTTTTTCACGTAGGATTATACTTGTTTACGTGTTTATGTTTTGATGCAACACCACAAGTTGTCAATATTTTTTATTTCACATTTCAATTTACTGTAAAATACTTTATTTTCGCTGAAGAGATGATTGAGTGAAAATTAAATTCCAGCGATTATACCTATTTTCATATATTTCACATTCAACTCATCAAAAATCAGTGAAAATAAATTCCATACAAAACACCAAAAAAGCCTTTAATTCCAGCCAAAATAAAATACTAGTATTTTACAGTACAAGATGATTATATCAACCTCTGTAATCAGACAACTCCAAAATTCACGATTCAAATTTAAACCACCGACTTGTGTAATTTTGTTTACCCCATCTCATTTCATAAACAAGCAGCCAGTCAGCTGAGATAGCTCCGCTGTTAGCAATGCACATTTCAATTAAAGAACAGAAGATATCATTAGAAAATTAACAATATGTATAGTATGTATAGCAATCGAACTTGCTGTTTTCAACAAGAATTCAAAAATATCACTTTTTACCAAAAATGACATAAATATTCATCAAAATTAGATAATTGAAGATATCATCACGAAATGAACAAATATGAGAGAGGTCCACATGTAGTCCTTATATATGTGATATCAAAACAATCGGACTTGCGGTTTTTAACAAGAAGTCACATATATCACTTTTTACCAAAAATGACAAAAATATTCACCAAAATTAGAGAATTAAGGATATCATCACAAAATGAACAAATCTGAGAAAGGTCCACATGTAGTATCTATATATGTAATATCAAAACAATCGGACTTGCAGTTTTTAACAAGAAGTCAAAAATATCACTTTTTACCAAAAATTACAAAACTATTCACCAAAATTAGAGAATTGAGGATATCATCACAAAATAAACAAATCTGAGAAAGGTCCACATGTAGTACCTATATATGTAATATCAAAGCAATTGGACTTGCGGTTTTTAACAAGAAGTCGAAAATATCACTTTTTACCAAAAATTACAAAAATATTCACCAAAATTAGAGAATTGAAGATATCATCACGAAATGAACAAATCTGAGAAAGGTCCACATGTAGCATCTATACATGTAATATCAAAGCAATTGGACTTGCGGTTTTTAACAAGAAGTCAAAAATATCACTTTTTATCAAAAATTACAAAAATATTCACGAAAATGAGAGAATTGAAGATATCATCATGAAATGAACAAATCTAAGAGAGGTCTACCCCAGGTACATACACACCAAGTATCAAAGCATTCAAGCTTGTAGTTTTCAAGAAGAAGTCGAAAAAGTAAAACATTGACACAGGCGACGGATGACGGACGACGACGGACAATCACTCATATGATAAGCTCTGCTCTACAAAGTCGACAGCGGAGCTAAAAAAAAAAACTTGACACTTAGCTCAGTAAAATAACCCCATTCATTTCATGAATGCAGGTACCGGTATATGGTATGGGAATCGAACACACTGGAGTACAGTGTTAACAGCAGTGATTAACAAATAATGGAGATCTTGAGTAAAGAAAGTGATGTTATTGTTCATTGGCCCCCTGTAGATCACTGTGTAGTGTCCTACTTAATTTAATTGATTCCCATAACCTCAGGGACGCCTAGATTAGCAAACAATAATTAAATATCAGAAGCACATGTTTACATTATCATTTAAATCTTCAACATTTTACAATCTGCCTTAACATTTTCACCGCCAGACCTTCTAGCCCAAATTTGTCTGCAATTTTTTCTTGTATTCTTCAATATTTCTGAAAATGAACCCCAATTTTGGAGCCAACAGACAAAATTTGAGTCAATTTTCAGTTTTTACTCAAAAAAATTTGCTATTTTTGTCCCAATCTTCTGAAAGAAAGTAAACTAAAAACGGGACTATTTTGTGATGAAAAAAGGGAACTGATGGTAAAAAGGTTAAGAACTTGACTGGAACTTTTTTTAAACCTAGCTATTTAACGTTTATTATATTCCATATCACAACTAATCTTATTAACTGATAAAAACAATATGCAATAAAGTTATTTATTATTAAAATAACAAACAATTCAATAAAAGCAAGATACCAGTGCAATATTTATCCGCTAATTCTAAACAAAGGAGAATATAGTTTGCATTTTGTGTTATTTTTTTAGAAAGTAGGTGAGTTAGACTGTCATTAACATAAACACAGGACAGTTTAAGAAAACACTAAATAGTCCCATCAACTAGCAGACAGATGTGAAGTGTTTGGAATAGACAGCTAATCTAACAATTGTAAGAGAACATTTCATAGAGTATGTTACTGCATTGTGCTTAGTACTGTATAATTAGCCTAAATACGTGCACTGAATCATCCTGGGGCAATCCTTGACCGGGCTTGTATGTAGTATAATGTATTCACAATATCCAATCAGAAAAAGGAAACTGGGTCATATTTTGTAACACGATATATAGGTCCACTATATAAAGGTGATTGGACACTGATTTGAAAAAGTCTGCATAGTACAGAGGGTAACTCATATTCATATGAATCACGATATAGTGTATAATGGTAGTTTATTCAACCCACGTCACAATTTAAGAGCAATTTCTAGATATATTAAAAGGGTGATGGTTGTTGTACAACAATGATGGTAACTTTGACATCTGCGCAACTGAACAAGTAAAAACAGAACTGTTAACCAAGCTTTAAAAGCGTAATTTCTTTGGTGATTGTAAGGTATTGAAGGAGTTGCCGGCGGTAACTAGTGTGCATCACACCTATGTCAAAACTCATACTAGTGATTCCCAATACCATTGGATTGTGGCAAATTCATCAACATAAATGTTGCATTTACGTTGTGAGAGGATCACCACCCTTTAAAATACTGTCACTATAGTAACTGATGCAAAAACAAAGATGAAATGATAATTTTATCATTTTCCAAAATAATTGAAATACTGGCTTCTTGTCTTTTCTTGTTTTGTTTTGCTTTGTGTAACCTAATGGATCCACATTATTAGTTAAAAGAATGACATTTTCAATTCAAGCGGGAGGGTTGTCACCTGCACACACACAGGAATTGAGTCCCAAATGACGATAACAACACATGCTAAAAACGCAAAGGCTCCTGGGTAGACGCTTGTTTGTGAACAATGACACACTATGGCCATCTGACGCATGCGCAGGTGACGACTCCCTCGCTTTTAATCTAAACCTATATTTCACCGCTGTAAATTTATCGAAGAATTTCGCCAAATAAACAAATTTAGTGTTTCTGATAATGGTCTACTACTGGGTAGGTTTTATATTATTTTATTTTATTTTTCTCAATGAGTTGTACTCTTGGGTTTTTGAGAGAACATAGTCATGCTTTAACTATAGATGTGAAAAATGACATTTAAGTTGGTTTTCAGAATATATTTCCTTAATACAATTAGATGCTAGTCATTCGTGACATAGAAGCAAGTACATGCAATCAAAAAATACAACATTCGTGGAATGAGTAGAACAAATTTTCATACATGAAATACAAATACATAACTTTGGCATAAAACAGGTAGGTAGGATTACCGGAAATACAGAATATATTCAATTTGGCTTTAACCTTTTCACCATCAGATTTTCTCGCCTAAAATTTCCTTCACTTTCTTTTCTGGAAATGAACCCTAATTTTAGAGCCAACAGACAAAATTCAATTTACAGTTTTTACCCAAAAAATGGCTATTTTTATCCCAACTTTCATAAGAAAAGTGCAGACTATAAATAGAACTATTTTGTGAATTTGTGATGAAAAGAAGGAAATTGTGGTGAAAAGGTGAACATAATCATGACTTTTCAAGGGTGGACACAGATAACTTGTAAAATTTAAAAGTACTACACTTCTTTATCATTCGGTTATTAAATGTCCCTTCAAATGAAGTTGTAAATACTAAACTTGTTTCCATGGAAACAAGAACAAAAAACAAGAACTTTATTTCTCCATAAGCATGAATTCCTACTTTGAAGGATATCAAAAAATTTGTCAAAATATGGAAAACTGAATTTCATAAATCAAAATCTAGTTCAGACACCCTGAGTTAAATTGAATTCAAAAAACTTGGCAGCATTTTAGGATACCCCAAGTGTTTGCCATCCTCAGATTACTTTACTTACAAACAACTTTTCTTATACAAAATGAAAACTAGTTCAGGGTCTCTCACCTCAGTTATTTCACATAGAAACATTTTCACTCTAGAGGGCGCTCTACAGTGTATTTGCAGACACCGTAATGAGACTGATAGTATCGTTTTATAGGTCTTACACTACCATGATGACAAAGTAAAGAAAAGCATGGCTACATTTTACACATAAAAATTGTGTACACGTAAAATGTGCATGTATTAGTTTTCACTGCTAAAATATTAATCAGCATTAATCAAGGGGTAAAATGAATTAAATATTGATTCAGACATTCTCTAAAAATTACAGCATGCTACTATAATCTTTTCACCATCAGATCTTCTCAACCAAATTTTTCTGCAAATTTTTTTATATTCTTCAATACTGTGGAATACTTTATTTTCGTTGGAATTAATTTTCGCTGAAAAAGCTTTTTGGGCGTTTTGTATAAAATTTATTTTCACTGATTTTTGATGAGTTTAATGTGAAATATAGGAAAAAAAGTATATTCACTGGATTTTATTTTCACTGAACCACTCCTTCAGCGAAAATTGCGAAAATAAATTCCAAGCGAAAATAAAGTATTCTACAGTATTTCTGAAGTGAACCCTAATTTTGGAGCCAACAGACAAAATTTGAGTCCATTTTCAGTTTTGGCTGTTTTTGTTCCAATCTTCTGAAGGAAAGTGCAGACTATAAACTAGATTATTTTGTGATGAAAAGAGGGAACTGGTGGTGAAAAGGATAATACCATAGACAAAAATTGGTACGGCATATGTAATAATGTGATCACCTATATCTATGTTTTTGGATGAAGAATTGGTTATTATAGTAGAGTGCATAGTAACTTTGAAGAATGTTTCAATCACTCATTTTACCTCTGTAGCTACCTTGGTCAATCATAAAGGGGGTATTAAGTAAGCTCTGAATTTTTGCCACGAAAAAAATAATTTCATGTTTGGGAAGTGACAGAGATTTGTAACCATCTTTCTAATATAATTAAATTATGGCAATTTTCCTGTTATTTAAGCTGCAGACTTTACCTGTCTGATGGATTGTCTTTTGGCAAATCTTGCCTTAATTCCCAATACTCTCTCTGTCACATGCTGGTACCGTCCATCTTGTAGGAACAGTAGAAAATTCACAACCGTCACAACTTTCAAAAGCTTCTCAGCATAGTCAACCAATCCACATATCTATGGTAGAATTGAAAAAATCTATTAACATCATCACTGCATTGACAGTCAGTCACCTTTCATAAAATAAATACACAATTTTTTTCATATTTTTCAATATTTTTTATCAAGACCTGTACTAATGACAAATAATGTCTATTTGGTCCAAAAAAAAAAAAAAAAATTTGAAAACAACGAGAAAATGTGCAAAATCCTGTAATTATTCACGCACATTTTGCATTTTTTTCCCATAGTTTTCAATAAATTATTTAATAAATTATTAATTTTGGTGACAAAAATTATGGTGTTCAAAGGTCCCAAATTAATGACAAATACTGTATGGAAAATAATTAATTGTTCACCGAGTTTTCTTTTTGGATTATTTTACTGATAGCTAAATTAAGGACATTTATATATACAGTACACATACCAATGTAAATATCTGCTTATGTCTTGTGAAACTTGACAAATCAGTCGACCGCTCCTGGAACCATTTACCACCGACAAAAATCAGACCATACAGACTTTTTTGGGTGAGTGACATTTGTGGCTTTTTATTGACCTTGTCTTTGTATTTAATATTCAGAATCTGCTGGCCAAGGGTTGCACTGCTGGCGTAAACAGAAAACTGAAAATAAACGCAAAAACTGTCATAATTCATCATAATTATATATTTATATTACTATAAACAGTAGATTTCATCCAGCTGTAAAACATGCACAGATGCGTTTGAAAGTGCGGATACATGTGAATGTTTTCCTTACATGGAAATGTGTATCACGTTTACATCACATTTAAACACTTTTTTTTGCCTACATTGGACGCAGCAAAAATGTAGCGTATGACTGAAATAAAATGGCATAACTGAACGCAAACGATGTCGCAGGCATGAATAATTTTCACTGCTATTTCAGGCTACTGTATCTCACTAAATTATTGCTACCAGTATATGCAGGAAAAGTAAATAATAATAAGGTTATCACGAAAATACTGCAAAGTATTTACTCAGGCAGTACTGGATCGCATCCACATCTGCTACACATCGCATGATATAATCACCGTACTGCTCATGTGCATACTTTGTGGTATTCTCATCATAGTAGTTTAAAATAACTAATTTTCGCTAGGTTTAAATTTCGTTGATTTACCATCTCAGACATATTCAGTGGGTTTTAAATTCACAGTTTTATCATTTAGATAAAGTGTTCTATGCTAAATTTTACATATTCACTGGGTTTTAATTTAGCACATTTTCCAGACAGCAAAATGAGCAAAATTAAAACCCAGTGAATAATTAATCCCTTTACAGTATCCAACAAATATATCATTAATTAGTTTGTATTTAGGACATTCTTTAATGAACAGCAGTTCACAACAAATTGTATTATGCATTATTGGTGGGAATATTAACTTCCAACTTTATATAAATGAAAATTATTATCACACTAAAAAAACTAACAAAGTTATATGAAATTTTTGATATAATCCAGCCAAATTTGAACGTATGGCTTGACCTGTAAAGGATGTGATACCAGTTTAAACTAGATTTATTCAGTAAGAATTACAACCCTATTACAAGCTGGATACAAGTTCAGTAATTGAGTCTAGACATTCCCGAAAGGCAGTAAAAAATCTACCAAGTACCTGTTGAAAAACAAATGAAAAAAAATCTTTTAAAAAAAATATATGGCATCTTCATTCAGGAATAACAAATACCAATATACTGTCACTTAATCGTTAATATCAATAACAATGTACTTGAAAAATAGGAATTGTTAGACGGCGATTACAAGTGCACAACGACGTATTATAAGTTTGATTTTATAACGTTTTCCTCCTAAGGATTGATTGGTGCTCTTAATAATAAAAAATTAATAATTCTGAATAAAGTTTCAGTGGAAGTCGTTAAAAGTTATGTTTTTTTTCCACTAACGAAGCTAGGTTCTATAAAATCTGACACAACAAACACATGTTCGAATTGCTAACGTTAATGAAATCGGCATACGCCGGCACTATAAAGTAACAACGTTATTGCTAGAGTTGAGTACTACACGAATTACCACTATAAAGCGACCATAGCTATTGACCAGAAGTAGCAAAAAGAACACGTACCCGGACATGACATTGAGATTTTTAATTAAACTTCAGGTACTTACTTTGGCCCTTTAAATCGCAGGTATTCGCGTTATTCAAACCGACTTTGGGTAATTATATAGCTTTGTTGAACTAGAAGTGATTAGGGGGGAACTTGAACCCGTCTACGTAAATACACGACAATAGAATAACAATAGGATAACAAAACAATAACAACTGGATAACAATAGATGAATTGTTGCAGCCATAATGATCTGCTACTGATCCTGTTCAGAGGCTAAAATTGATAGCATACAAACGAAAACACCAACAACTTTTCAAGTGTGTTTAATAGAAAATTGGGATTTCGTTTGCAGTCTTTATTTTCTAAGCCAAAGTACGTATCTGTGAACCGTTGCATTTTATCTGAAATGTGCGCAATTTGATAATTTTAATGAGCTTGGGAAGAGTAAATCTCACGAAGTTCTCTATGATTCACTGGTCATTGATGATGTCTATATAAGAAAATGTTGTGTGCGAGTCTATAACGAAATGAATGCAAGTCAAAATGCAACAGAAATTGATATTCTCATTAAATTATTTGATTTAAAAGATATACATCTGGGTTTTGAGAACTTATTTTTCAATTTTTTAAATTCTGTTGCATTTGATATTCATTTGAGTTGATAAAAATATACATATTAATAAATAACATACATGTATTCAAAGACACTCAAAAGTGCATAGACCCACGGTAAGTTTTGTCCGATTCAATAATTTTAAATTTGTTTGATACTGATGCGGACAATGTGATAAGTCACGATGACATCTCAGGGCTGCAGTTACCGGGGTAGCTTTACTTTCATTAAGATTGGTCATCAAAAATAATATGTATTAGACTTCTGAAATAATGTGTGAAATGCAAAACATCCAGAAAAAATCACTAAATACATTAGGAGTCACCTGCCTCTAGCTCCCTCACTGGATATGGCCCTGTATCATGTAATACATAACAGTGGACCTTTGCTTTCATATAAAATTGCTGAATAAAAAATACCGAACGTACATTTCCTTTCATCACAAATTCACAAAATAGTCCCATTTGTAGTCTGAACTTTCCTTCAGAAGATTAAGACAAAAATAGGCAAATTTTTTTAGTAAAAACTGAAAATTTACTCAAATTTTGTATGTTGGGCTCCAAAATTAGGGTTCTTTTTCCAGAAATATTTAAAAATATAAGAAAAAAGGTACAGAAATATTTGGGCGAGAAAGTCAGGTGGTGAAAAGGTTAACGGTAGACTAATAGTTTCCATATTGAGCTTCATACTAAAACACATCAATCTCAATCAAATCCCACAAAAAATGTGACTTCATGTACACGTAATTTCCTGCATGTGACATTAATTCCATGAGCCCTGTATGCTTATCCAACCTTGATTTTCATAAATATACCATGCAAATTACCATAGAAGAAAAATATGTTCAGAATTGGAACCCAACTAATGTTGAGTAATAAATACTCAAAAGTTTTTATTAAAATTTTATTGAAAAATACTGTTGGTATATCAGGTGACAAGCAAACTGAAGACAATATAACAATAGCTGCACTAAACAATGGTCTTTGTTATCACCATGGAGGCAGAGGAATAGCCTGGAATTATACAACTATGTTTGTTTATGGTTACGTGCGTGGAGCATAAACGTAAGGTCAATCGGTTCAGCCGTGTCTACAGACCCTGCTGTCACCCCACATGTTAGACCATATTTTTTCATTTCTAGGACAGTCATTCAACTTTATACACCTCTGTTTTCCGTTGTTTATTATCAATTATTTTCCCATCGAAACAAAAAAATTCACATACAGTAAAACTAATTATTTTCATTAACATTTAATTTCACTACTTTGAGAATATTCACTGTGTTTTAATTTCAAAAATTTGTCAAGGAAACAATGACAATGAGTTTTATTGTTTTTTTACATGTTCATGTAGATTTAATTTAGCAAATTTTACTTATCGGTGAAAATAGCGAAATTAAAACTCAGTGAATAATTAATGCATTTACAGTATTTGAATTTCTTCCTGATCTTTACATTCAATTTGAGAATTTGCTGGGACATTTTACTTATTTCCTTTAGTTTGGGGGTGGGGGGTTTTGACCTCAAAAAGTTTCCATCCTACAAAAACGGTTTTATTTTTTAATGAAGTCAAAAAAATCTTGGAGTATTTGTAGTTTGTTTTTGTTTTTTCTATCCAATCATAGACAGAATAACCGGAAAAGGAAAAAAACAAATAAACAGAAAAATGGTTTGGTTCGAGTGTAAATTGTGCGTCAAATGAGGTGCATTTGTAAAATCTTTTTACACCCTCCCGACAACCAACTGCTATGCAATACTACTGTCCGATTATTAATTTGTATTTAATGGTGAATGCAGTTCGACGCCATGACCAATATTTATCAATTAAGTTTCAGTGGGGGTAGGGGGTTTGGAAAAAAACTAAAGTAATTAAGTTTTTTATCCGACATTGATCTTTTGACGTCGTCTCTTAAGTAGGTTCTACTTTCATAATTTCATAAAAAAAGTTGTGGAATGTTGTTTTCATTTTTTATTAAAAATGTATAGGAAAATTGTACTGACTCAAGAATTAATGAACATGAAAAATTAAAATACTGACTAGAGAATGATATTGCTGAATATTTTGACACCAGCAAAAACAGGTGGGAAGAACTTACGTGAGGTCAAAAACAAAATTACTTTATTTTTTAATCAATCTACAACTTTGTGATAAATAATAACAATATCAACACCCGTGACACTTTCAAAATCAATATAAAATAAAATAAGTACTATGGCTATACACATTTATTGAGAAACTTAAATTTAACAATGATAGCGAAACAAGTTGCTTTGGAAGCATAGAAACAACAAAATTGAACCAGGGCCAAGAAATGACGAACCCACGCAGTGCAAGATTACCGCTGTTGAATTAGTGAACAAAAGTTTGTTGTTTCTTGACCACTGATAGATTTAAAAAAACATGTTTCATTACAAGCATATCAGAGAGAATTATCATGTATCAACTGGACCAGGTGCTTGCATTACCCTTTCATATGCAAATTACATTACACAGACTCCAAGTCGGCCGTGATTAAAGTCTACAGCCATCTGTCACTCACTGTTAAAGGGTCTTTTGTGGAGAAACCTGACTAAATCACACATAGCGGCGCTTTCAGCGGCAAGCAATACAACTTACAAGTTGCTCAACTGATGTTCGGTACTCGACGCTCATTGCATTGAAATGGACGCGGATGAGACAAACAATCTGGTTGAAGACGTAATGGAGAATGAGTCGTACAATACAATGGTAGGTTAAATCTCCGTAGTAAAGTTTGAAAATTTCATTACATGAAATCATTTACCTCATGTTATTTAATATTCATAACAAATCACGACTGGGAGTTTTTGACCTTATACCCCTCATTGAGAATTGAATAACGGACCTCAGTAAACAATTAGTAAGATTACATCTTACGAGACACATAGTGATAAATAAA